TGCAGCAACGGCGACGAAAACAAAATTACGAAGTAGACTGGACATAAACCACACACTTGAGGTCATTGTCTCTCCTATTACCCCGAGATGGGACCGTCTGGTTGCAGAAAATCAAGCTCGGTGCTGTGGTGAGTCGTCATTTTCATGCACTTTGAATTTGCGTTGTATCGTATTTTGAAGGCATTAAACATTGCCATAGCGATTGGAGTGTTGCGGCCAGATTAGACGCTCCTTGTGTTTATTATTATATTTCGAAAACACCACAGTTTTCATGCAGCTCATACCATATTATTTTGTTGTATTATTTCCGCCACACCTTAAATGCCGGTCCCTGAAAATATTGTCTGACATAAACCGGTCCGTGGGGCAAAAAAGGTTGGGGACCCCTGTTCTAAGGGACCGAGACCTGACGAGAAACCGCCGCAGCTGCTTTGGGCTTTCCACTGGTTTCAATGTGTCTTGCTCGATGTTGAAATGGGGGCAAAAAAGAAAGCCCGATTCAATCTTCCGCTTTGAAGCAACTGGCTCACCGTCGCTTCGGGTTCACTCCACTGTGACACTTTGCTCCTTTCCCTTCCTCAGGACTCTCAACTCTCAAACTCTTCGCAAACTTCCACAAACACTTCCTCTGACACTCTCATCCAACTTTTTCCCGACCTCATCTTGAATGCAAGCTTTCTTTACAAGCAGCAGAACCATTCATGTTTTTTTTGTTTTTTGTTTTTTTTTAGCAGGCCTGCAGAACCGGCGGGTAGGGCTCGGTCAGGACCTTGTAGCGGACCTTGGTGTTGGTCACGGCGCCGTGCTTCTGGCGCAGGTGAAGTCGCAGCTGGCTCTTGTGGCGGAAGCGGAGCTCGCACTTTTCGCACTGCCAAACACCCCCGAAAAAATAAACAACAAAATCAAGATGATTTCATTTGGTGTTGTTTTTCTCGCTGCCGTTTTGCAGGCGGGACTCACCGAGTACGGCTTCTCCCCGGTGTGGATGCGCAGGTGGCTCTTGAGGGTCTGCAGGTGGCGAAAGCGGGTGCCGCAAATGTGACACGGGTACGGCTTCTCGCCCGTGTGGATCAGGATGTGGGCTCGGAGGTGAGCGACCTAAACATAAAACAAGGACACGGACAACTTGTCAAACACCGCTTTGGCTTTTCAGGCTGCTCATGCTAAGTAGCGCTTATGTCCCGCTGTTTTATTCAGAGACAAAAACTGTGCAGCACCACATCTGCGATGACAGACAATATCAGTGCTCACCGTCTCACACACACACACACACACACACGCACACTTAATCCTCTGCAAAAAATGACCAATCTTAGCGACGTACTGATGAGCTGGATGCATGCATGCAAAGGCCCACCTGAACGAATCGGGCGCCGCAGGTGTCGCAGCGGTACGGCTTCTCGCCCGAGTGGATGCGAGCGTGCGTCTTGAGGTTGGCCGGCCGGTTGAACTGGGCGCCGCACACGTTGCAGCGGTACGGCTTGCCGTCTGCAGGATTTCAGTTGCGGTGTTACGGGAAACGCACTTTGAATTGGCTCGCGCGGTGAGCTCGCGGTAACAAATCGAATCCGAAGCATGTCGCGTGGAGCGGTTTTGGTCGTCGGTCTGCGTCAGGCGACACGCGAGCCTCACCTGAGAGCATGGTTTTGCCTCCTCTGGTGTTGCCCAGGTGAGGCGCGTAGCACTCTCGATTGGTGGCCTGATGGTGGTGATGATTGGCAGCTGCGGAAGTTGGAGGAAAAACAGAAAAACTCCTTGACTGCCAGCCGTTTGAGAGCGAGCGTTTGGATATTTTCAAGATCCAAGCAAGGATCTAAGGGAAGAGAAACCCAACGAAGGAAGACGGGCAACCCGTTCAGTATTGATGGGAGGAAGGAAAGAAGGATGCAATGAAGGGCGGAAGCGTGACAAAGAAAAACGAAACCAGGAAGGTCGGGCGGCAGGGTGACGCGATGATGCCTGAAAGGAACGAAGGAAGGACCGAAAGAATGCAAGGCTGGAAGAAAGGAAGGTGAAGGGCGGGAGGAAGCGAGCGTGGATGAGAGGTCGGGAAAGAAGGCGGATCTTGAAAGCTTACGTCCATTCGCCGCTCCCTCCTGCGCGCAGGCGGGTGGCCCGAGGGGAGGGGCTCGGCCAGAACCCTCGTAGCAGGAGGCCTGCCCCTGTCTGGCGAGGATATACGGTGAGATGCTGAACCTGCGCCCCGAGGGTCGGCCCCCCACACCCTCCGACTCGCCCGGCGGGCCTCCCACCTATCAATCTGACCGGGCACTTCTCCGGGCCACGCCTGCGCCGCGCCCGCCACTCGCCGCCGTGGCTCCTCCTTCGCCGAGCTCCCAACGCACAGAGGGTTGAGGATGATGTACTTGTACTTTTTCCAGTTGCGCGACTTTGGGTCCAGTGTGGCTTTACCGTCGTGCTGAGCCGCCAACACATCCAGACCGTCCCGCTTGTTACAACTCTGTGCCACACGATAGTGTTTGGGGGGGGGGGGGAATCAAAAATCAAAGCAATATAAACTCACAAATGTTGCTCTCCAAACTAAGTCACCACAAGTCCAAGAAATCAACACTAACCACAATGAACCTCCCGACCAAAACAATTCTAAACACCCCCTGGCAAATGACACCGGAGATGATATATGTCTTGGTTTTCTTGGCTTTGATGGCAGCATTTGAGAAGAGTGGGTCACGCGATTCTATTGGCTCGTTTGCAGCACCCGCTGGGCATTGGCGGCAGCGCCCTTGAGTGGTTCCAGTCCTATTTAGCTAACTGGTTGCCCTGAGTTACGAACTGCCCCACTGTTGCGCGGTGTTCCGCTGGGCTCCATTCTGGGGCCTCCGCTCTTCTCACTGGATCTGCTCTCTTTGGGTTCCGTCCGAAGGAAACCTGCTCTTTCCTTCCAGTACCGCGCAGATGACTGTCACATTGACGTCCCGCTGAGCAAAAAAGACGCTTTTTCATGCGGGCTACTTTGATCCTGTCTGGAGGAAATCAAGACATGGGTGGCGCTGAATTTCCATGAAAAGAAAACCGAAGTGATGACGTTTTGGTCTCAGTGGCCATCCTGCCGACTTGAGCGCCCTGGCTCCTTATGTTAAGCCAACAGCCTCCAACTCGGGTCTGAAACTGGACAGTGAAACTGGAGCGGCGGCTTGCTGCGATCGTCAAATTCGGTTTCTTTCAGCTTCGGCAGCTGGCTCAAGTCAAGCCTCTCCCTTTTTTTTTCAGCGCACTTGGAGATACGGTTATTCATGCCTTTGTCACATCCCGGCTGGATCTTGGTTACCAAGGTTTTGTTTTCTTGTTTGTTGTTGGATGACTTCTTTTGGCTGCTTGTTTTCAAGTTCTCGACAACTACAATTGAGATGTTAGCATTCAATTCAGCTAGCCGACTGTCATAGGACAAAATGCCCTACTTTCCTTGAACGTTCCAGCGTTTCGATATAGAAGATGAAATTCTCTCTTGTTTTCGATGTCAGTTTTAGAGGCAACTTTGGAGTTTCCCATTTGACGCGGTGGGCTTTGGAGAGCGTTGACGAGGGGTTTTTTGGTTTCCTCCTTCAACTCACCGCAGGAGTGTTGTTGCAGGTTTTGGACTCGGCGGGGGAGCTGGGCTGGCAGCCGCAGCGGGCCGGGCTGCCGGGAGACGGAGGCGGCGAGTCAGGCTCCTTCTTTAGCTCCTCTGAAGCGGGCTTCCGCGGAGGCGCGAGCGGGCCCACGGGCTCGGCCGGCACCCTGCGGAAAAATAGCCGTTGAAGGCGAGAGAGAAAAAAAAAAAGGCTCCGGAGGTGGAGTTCGTACCCGACTCGGCACGCCGCTTGGGGGCCAGGATTTGGAAGCACTCCACCTTTGGGGCCCACGGAAGCCGCAGACACCCTGGGGTCCAGCTCCAGTCGGGGGTGTCTGCTGATCGTCTTTTCCCTGCTCCCCAAATGAGGCGATTTGAGTTTTGAAAGGGACAGACAGAAACAATCTTAAATGTACAAATGCCATTCTTTAGTTCACGATTCGTTTTGTTTTTTTTGTTTTTTTTTAAATTTCATGACTTCTACTACCATTCATTTCATCTCATAAATCAAGAAATGCATTGTAGGAAATGTGAGGACGTGCAACTTCCTCAATAAATCATGAATGCACAACTACAATGTATTTCAACAATAAAATAAGAAATCATTTGGAATTGTATTATACTTCCCCCCCACCCAAAAAATAAATTGTTAACCATACAAGTCAAGTTGTGGGTTGGATTGTTCTTCTTCTTATTTTAGTTCTTTATTATTTTTCAGGATCTGACCAGTGCAGCCGCATGAAGTCCCGGCAGGTGTCGGCCACGTGGTCCATCTGCAGGTAAGCGGCCACGGCAAGCACGCCGGGGGCGCTGGCGGGTGTCAGGGGGAGGCGGGACGTGTACATGAAGTCGAGCAGGAGGGAGACGCTGCCGGGCTCCAGGTGGCCCGGCAGGGACACGCTCATGTGCTGCTCGGCCCGCGTGGAAAGCGAATAGAAGAACCCGCTGGGGAAAAGGACAACCCAGAAAAAGAGCACTCTCAGCACACACGCACGCAACGTATTGCTTTTGCTGCCATCTTGTGGCACATTGAGGCCAAGGGCCTGTGTTGCGGTGCCTTGACTTTAACGCCACTGCCACTTGTACTTTCCTGTCACGCGGAGCGTCGAACAAAGGAAATCTTGGGGCTGTGAAAGCACCACACGGCACCTCATGCTAATGTATCATTGAAAAGAGCATTCTCGCGCTAGCGGTTAGCATTGACAGTTGCGGTTTTCAGAACCCTTTAAGTGAAGAATATTTGAACATGTACGTGGAGCAAAACACTTTGACAGCCCTCACGAGCACGTATTCTTTATCCTCAACGGAAAAGGACTCGTTCTTCAGCATCTTCTGCAGTCACTTACAGTAGGAGTCGAAGAAAAAACACGGCAGCAAACCCCGCGTATTAGCGGTTTGGCATTTGCCGATTCGCAGATGTTTTTTTTTTTTTTCATGACCCTGTTTGTCATGGAAACCCACCCGCAACTTTTAAAATCCCATTATTTGGACCTTTTTCATTTGTGTCCGGCTGACTATATTTTGCCGGAGGGAGCAGCACAATCAACTGGATTGCGGCATTAAATCACGAGACACAAAACGTTTCATTCCGCCACGTGACTTTGGCCGCTCAATTGGAAACGGAAGTCGTTTTACATCCGTGGACAAAAGTATTCGCAGAGAGGCCGTCCATTTTCAAAATGGCGCGTCCACCACCGGATTCGGTCACCGCGTACCTGCAGGCCACCAGCACGGCCGAGTGAGCCCGTAGACGCGCGTCGCCCACCGCCAGGGTGGCGTCCGTCAAGATGCCGCGGTGCCGTAGCTCGTTGAGGTTGAGCAGCACGTCGCTGCAGTGGCGCGTGAACTCCTTCACGTAGCCGGCGGACGCGCCGGGGCCTTCCGCGCCTGACGCCATCGCCTTCCTCGGTGGGAGAGCGGGGGGGGGGGATCACATGACGTGGAAACAACCGCTGAATGACAATTGCAGGACAGTTCAGGCGTATTTAACTTGAATCGCAACATATTTGCATGGAAGAACTCATGTTGAGGTACCATTTCGAATCGGCTTTGATGTGCCATAGATTTTCAGGGAATCATCTTATCAAGAAGGTTGTTTTTCATTTTCTGGTTCAAACTGTGCAGAATGTTCCAGCGGCAAATCAGATAGAGGGTCCAAACCTCCATTTTGTGTTTGATCAACATTATGGGGGCGTGGCGGTGTCAAAATATGCAAAGTAGCTCGAAATTTTTTTTCAACCCAAAATTGGTGATCTCATTGACAAAGCAAAAAATTCAAACTCGACTAGAATGTGATTTTTTTTCAAATGTTGTCCCTTTTTTCCAAGTGTGATATATATATATATTAAATAAAAAAAATCCTCGTCTCGCCCCTCGGGTGGTGTCCGTCCCTCATTCAGCTCGCCCGCGACCCTCCCGAGGACAAAGCGGCTCAGAAAAACGGCTGGATGGATGACTCCATTTGAACCGCTGCTCCCGTGCAGCCACACACAAAGTCATCATGAGACCTTGATTTCAACTCAATTGGTATCATTGCGACCATTTTGGATCTGGTCTTTTTTTTCCTACACAACAAATCTCGTGCAGGCCATGCTTTTGATCTATTTTGACAGTATGGGGCGGACCAATTTAAAAGAAAAAAAAAAAGAAAAAAAAAGGCAAATGGCCCCTGGGCTTCACTTTTGCCTCCACCGAATTGATGGCAAATGGTTTTGCGGACGAAACAGCTCCCGCTAATTTACAGCACCAACCGATGCGACTTAATAATAAATACCAAACAAATGAATACATCCATAAACAAATAGAGTACTTACTGAAGTGTCCACTTGGCGAGCGAATAAAGACGCACAAGCGTGCCAGCCACATGTGTTAGGCGAGACCAGCTCCCTACTCGTACCTGGAAAGAGAAATTCAAATGTGACTTGTGTTTTTGGCCGCGAAGATCTTCGATTGATTTCTCGTCGCCGACTCACCCCGACCAGCGGGGACGAGAACCCACGTGATCCCACGCGGACCTCAAGCCCCTGGCCTCGGACTCCTCCCGTCAAACGAGAAAGTGGGGCTGCGCTCGCCTCGACCTGCGCTGGCGCCAACGGCGTGCGGGCAGGCAACGGGGAGCGGGGGACTCTTTATAAGGACGCCCACCCGCCTTCTCCCACTTCCTTTTTCCTCAATGGCCCACGCGCAGGAAAAGCCCCGGCGCAGCACTCGGCGCTCCAAGTATTTTTAGTGGGCTCTTGGTTTGTCGAAACTCCCCGCCGCGCTGACTAAAGCGATGGCCGGAAAAGGCTGGTGGGGTGCCGCTGAAAAACATTTCAAATACAAAATAGGAGGACTCTTGGGGAGAAGAAGCGCTACGTGCCCGATCGCGGCGCATTGCGGCAAGCCATAGAGCCGCGTGGGCTCCGGGAGGCTTCCGGAAACCGGCGACGGTTCGCACCCTTGGCCGCTATGTTGACAAACAGCAGTTCAAACTTGAGCGTAGGACGCCCAGAAATGCCGCCGGTCGCCGTGAGGCCGAGCTCACTGAGAGGGACCGAGGTCGAGTGGAAAAGGGCCCGTGGTCTGACGAGTCCCCTTTTTCAAGTTGTTGTTGTGGGAAACGCTGGGCATGGTTTTCTTCAAGCCAAAGAGGAAAAGGACAATCCGGCCTGCGATCGGCGCAAAGTCAATCGAAAAATAACAACACGGCATCTGCGGTGGTACGGGAGTGTGCTGGTGCCTCGGGCCCAGGTCGCTTCAGGTCACTTCGAGATCCACGAAAGTAGCCCTCAGTCCTGAAAGGTCCACCCGGGTATGGGAGCGGCCGTTGCCGCCATCTGAGCAAGGTCGTTTTCAGGGACGTCTCCGCTCACTGCGGCAAGACCGCGCCGGGCCGCGTGGCTTCGCGGTAAAAGCGTCTGGACCTGCAGGGCATCGTAAAGCACAAAATGCCACCATGGGCGCTGGGGAGTCATTCAAGTGCGACATCAACACAGATGGGCAACGTGGAAAAAAAACCAACCCCCTGCGCCACAATGTGTCACAGGTGCCTCAACTCAACGGGCAGGTAAAGCAGCTTCCGGGGAGGGCGGGCTTTTGATTTTCCCCACCTGGATTTCCCATCTCTGGACATCAAGTAAGAAGCGGCTCGTTTCAGCCAGGGGGAAGTGCGATGAGGACCAAGAGGAAGGAAGCCAGACAACGCCGTCGCTTCCAGATGAGGGACACCTTCTCCTTGATGGTGAAAAACAACCTTTTCCCCGCTTTGAGCGAAATGAAGCCGACAGATGTGAAGGAAGGACCCCCCCCCCTCCCCACCGCATCCCCCTCCCCATCACAACCCACACGCATGCACTTTTTTTTTTTTTTTTTAATGCATCCGGCAAAGCTGCTCAGAGACGTGGATGAAAACGCCTGCGCAGGACATCCGTCAATAATAAAGCCGGCAGGAGACGAGGGAGGAGAAAGGCGACGAGGGCCGTCGCAGGGGGGGTCAACAATCAGTAACCACAACAAATGAAAATGGCGCAACGCCCCCGCCGGGTGTGAACCGGGCTCAAACGCAATGTTTCTCAAAATGGCACAACTTTGCGCTCATCATCTTAAAGTGATCATCTTCTTTAAAAAAAAAACAAAAAAAACACATCTTGTCTTAGAAGGTTCACCTTGAAAATAAAAGCACTTTTTACCCAGAACGTATTGTGAAATGTTTTGCCCCCAAAAAGTCGGACTGGGTACTAGGAAACTGGTGAAAGGCAATCCGGTTGAAAAAAAAAATGCCAATATTCTCCATTGACATGTTGCAAAATAAGCAGAGAAATGAACGTGTCCAAAGTTGTTTCATGGCACCTTTGTTGGAATTTACTGTGCAACCAAACACACAACATGAGTGCATTACACACACACGAACACACACAGATTTTATATTGAAATGCAAGTCATCGTTCATTTTAGCGAGGCGGCCAACGCCAAAGTGAGGGTCAAATCCCATCGACAGGTTAATAGAAAGACGCGGCGCTATTCTTTCAAAGCGACGAATATTCACACACAGACGCCGCGGCAACGCACACGCGGCGAGGCGAGATCGGAACGGCGCAAAGGTTATCTGGTGAAAAGCGGTTCTAGTCATGGCGCTCAAGGACAACTTTCTCCTCCGACTCCTTCTTGTCTGGATGCGAGCGTGTACGCGTTGCGCTTTTGCTTTCCGGTTCTGCTCAAAGTGGTGTTCCTTTGGACAGGAAATCGCCTTTTAGCTTTAGCGGAGGCCTTTCCCACGAAAATGAAATCGGACTCGACGATCCAAAGGGGTCTGGGATTGCTTTCTTGGCTGATTGGAGCATGGTTGGAAAAGCTTTGCGAGTGGCCCTTTCAAAGCTTCCATTTTTCCGGGTCCGGCGGAAACGTTTGGACAGCGCCGGCGCGACCCAATTAGCGGCGGCCGGCCCGGTCAAAACTTTTCTTTTGAATGAACCCAAGGCGCTGCGGTGTGTCCAATGGCAATTCAGTCGTACAAGGCGAGCGCACGAAGGAAAGAAAACAAGAGGCGGTCTGGGCCACTTCCGGGCATTGTGACAACAGCGGAAGAGTGCGATGGGGGCTGCCCAAGGAAAAAGGGAAACCCTTACGAAACGCTGCTCTCCAATGGGCGGAAGCCATCCGGGCTGCCCCGCTGGCAAAGCTTCGGGGTAGACTTCCTCACTGCCCCGTGCGGGTCGGTGTTGACCCCAATCCCTCCGGCCATTGCCAACGTGTTGACAAAAACCAAGACTTGCCGCCGGCGTGGACATATAAGGCTGAGCGACGACCGGAAAAAAATGTTGCAGATGGTCGAGGTGAGCCATCAGGACTTTTCTTCAAATCCAAACTAGAAAAGAAAATTCTCCAACAGACGCAAGTGCTCTGCGAATAGCATCTCGGGGGGAAAAAAAGCATTTTTCAAGATTTTTTTTTTTTTTTCTCAAAAACTTTAGCCCGGTAAAGTGACTTTATTCATCTTCCCACATGCGCCGCTGCGTCTTTCAGGAAGGCAACGCCAAAGCACATTCTGCTCGCGCGAGGACAGCGTGGCTTCTTCGGACCCGACGCAACATATTCTTCCTCCAAAAATATAGATTAAACAGATTTGAAAATCTCAAAGATGGACAACTTTATTCTTGTAATAATACAACTTGAATCGACGCTTGAATCAACTTGAAAAGGCCTTGCTTTTCTTGCAGCGTGGCAACTTCAATCTTGAGCACGTCAAGCGTTTTGAAAACATGCAAATGCGTTCTGATCAACTACGGAAATCTTTTTGTCCTTGTAAAATGCTCAAGTGCTTTTATAAGATTCTCCAAAACATGAGCCACTTTTCATGACATGACCTTTCAACCTTGAAATTCGACATGTTTTTTCCTTCAAACATATTCAACTGAAATCCTGTAATCTTGACAAGGGGAAAGTATTCATGGAATATATCCAACCTTCATCCAAAAATATGGGAGAAAATCTCAGAATTGAAAAGTAAACAGAATCCCAGTGGCCCTTGTCCATTGCACCCTGCGGTCTTGGGCCCCCTGGCTCCTTATCACCTGAGCAGTCTCCAACTTGGGTCTGAAACTGGAACGCCATTTGAAATTGGAGCGGCAAATAGGTGTTGTTGTCAAATCGAGCTTCTTTCAGTGTAGGCAGCTGTCTCAAGTCAAGCCTCTCCTTTTTTGAGGAGCACTTGGAAATACAGCCGTTCATGCTCATCTCGACTGAATGACTGGAACGCACTTGACTTGGGAGACAGCCAATCCTCCATCAAGTTTCTCCAGTGGGTCCAGAATGCCGCCGCTCGCCTCTTGACAGGTTCACGTATAAAAAGGGAACAGAAAACTCAGACTCTGGCATCCCTTCTCTGGCTCATTTTTGGAGTGATTTTGAAGATCCTGTTAGTTGTTCTTCAATCTTGAAATGGCCTGGCCCCACCTGACCTCTCGGAGCTCCTACCTGGTGCTTCAGATCTGCGGATGGGACACTAGTCGAGGTACCGAGAACTAAGGCTCAGGGGGGGACCGAGTCCTCTCGGTTGTGGCTCGCTCTCTTTGGAATGACCTCCTGCTGAACGTTAGGCAAGCCCCCTTACTGACCCTCTTTGTTTTTCGTTGACTGATTTCTTGTTTGTTGTTGTATGAATTCTTTTTGCTCCATGTACAGGCTTCTTTAAATACAGCGATGGTTGGTTTTGGGTGCTCTCCAAATACACTCGAGTTGAGTTGGGAATTCATCCTCAAAAGGAATAATATACGACCTTTTATTTTGAAAACAACTTTTTTTTCGAAAATAGACCGCTTTATGCGCCCCCTCCCCTTCACGGCGTGACCCTTCTTGTATTCCGTTTCAATCGTCCCTTCGTCCAAGTTTTGATTTTCGGAGTTTTCGCCCGTCGCGCGGCTGTCGGCAGGCAGTCGCTGACGTCACACGCGCGAGCGGCGTCGTTTGGCGTCCGACCTGCGCATAAAAAAAAAAAAAAAAAGTGTCCGACTGCGTGTGTGGCCCCCGTCCGTCCGAGAAGAAGGAAGAGGGCCTCCCTTGCCTTCCCTTGGGCTTGCCTCCGGATCCGAGGCGAAAGGAGGTCAACGACGCTCGCTAGCCCACCAAAAAGAGGAGAACCTTGTATCCGCTCGTTAGCTTTCATGGAAGCCGGGGGGTTTGTTATTGTTGTTGTTTTTTGCGACTCACTACAGAATGGAGTCGCATTATTTTTGTTTACTTGGGCCGATTTAAATGCTGTTGTTGCCTTTCGGCTGTTCGGACAACGTATCAGGCGAGTAAAACATGCTACCCGGAGCGAGCTACAAGCTGTTAGCCGAAGCCTTCAAAATAAAGGCATAGACTGAATTTACTTCCAGTCTGATGGTCCTTTTTTTTTATGTTTTCCAACACGACGTACACAACTAGCAGACGGATATCGCTCCGCGTTTCATCTCGGCTAAATTTTATGCGTGCGCGTTCCCTTTTCCGTGCCATGGAATTTGACTTCGAAAGAAACGGAAGAGTCATCCGCTTCCCCTTGTCAGCCGCCATTCCTTCGTTGTTTTTTGCGACTCACTACAGAATGGAGTCGCATTATTTTTGTTTACTTGGGCCGATTTAAATGCTGTTGTTGCCTTTCGGCTGTTCGGACAACGTATCAGGCGAGTAAAACATGCTACCCGGAGCGAGCTACAAGCTGTTAGCCGAAGCCTTCAAAATAAAGGCGTAGACTGAATTTACTTACAGTCTGAGGTTCCTTTTTTTATATTTTCCAACACAACGTACACAACTAGCAGACTTATCTCGCTCCGCGTTTCATCTCGGCTGAATTTTATGCGTGCGCGTTCCCTTTTCCGTGTCATGGAATTTGACTTCGAAAGAAACGGAAGAATCATCCGCTTCCCCTTGTCAGCCGCCATTCCTTCGTCGAATCTCTGCTCATGTATTTTCATTTGGAATTCTGTTTTGTTTCTCCCGGTACGACAATCGACAGCGGATCCTCTTTTGCAACGCCTACTTGCGGCAGAGCTAAAATAAAACCAAATACAAATCAAGAAAACCATTCAAGTGACACTATATCTGTTATACCTGTTGGTATTTGCATATCCTACTGAAAATTCCATCAAATAATCGAGTATTCGGATAATTCCCCCCCCCCCATGAAGAACTATGAAACGGAGGATAAAAAAATAAATAAATAAAAACATTTGTCTTACTAATGAACACCCAACTGGTTTACATTTTTAGATAATCAACTTTGATATCCTTGATTTAACCTGCGCCGAGCAGCAGCAAACTCGATTTTCTTCTGTTCGAAATCTGAGTGAGATTTTGGCACAAAAATGACAAAAACCATCAATAATTGATGTCCATTGACACACACACACACACACACCATAATTAGGATCCGATGGTGCGCAAAGTCATCGCAAAAAGAGACGTTCTTCCCAATGACAATTTGAGCCCGTTTGTATCGTTAATCCAGTGTTGAAATTGTCAAATTGGGGGTTGTTTGTGGCGGGGCGGAACACGTGACTGAGGTTGGCGGTGTAGCGCCGACTAGCATGAGTTCATCAATGCGTAGCAGTCCTCGCGACAGCTCAGCTTTTCTTTTTCAGATCCACCGCGAGTGTGTTCCCAAACTGTGAAGGCCGCTCACCGCTTGCTGCTTTCTTCCGGACTTCTTAATTTTCAAACTGGCACATCGCAGAAAATTTGCGCGCAACGACTGCGCGGATCGAGCCCGGCGGCCCTGCGCTTGTTGCGCTCGGGGCTCCAAGAAACGATCGGGCCGATGCCGGATCTCTACCTGCGTGGACATTGGAATCCTGCAAAATAAGCCCCATTTTGAAGAAATACTGTTACATTATTTGAGTATTCAGAATACGTAAAGCCGGTACACGTGTCACTCCCCAAGCATATAGTTTATCCATCTATAAATACAAAAAACAGACGAGAAACAGATGAGATGTCACCATTTTACTCGTCTTTTATAATGTCAGGTAAGAGCGAGTTTGAAATAGCATAGAAAGTGTCGACACTGACAGTTGGAGTCGTGGCATTGTTGTTGGTGTTTTGTTTTTGTTTTTTGGGGGGGGGGCAGCGTCATCGCCATAATCCTCTTAGCCATGAAGATTTATGACGCCTCCATGGCCCCAATTCTCCCAATGAGTGCGAGTGACTGATGAATTCCCACCACTGCTCTTGAATCCAAAAGGTAGCAAATGGTCCGGGATGAGATTGTTTGGAGCCAGGTGCTAACGTGACACAACATTTCCTATTTTGCAAACACTCGCTCTGCTGGCGTCAACAGTCAAAGACAATAAGCATTGTGGGTGGCAAGTTGTGCGAGAGTCGCAGCTGCCTGCGCACCACCAATGTTATCGGGGGCGGGGGAGCGGGGGCGGGCTGGAAATCCCCAAACCTTTCCGACTGGCTTCTGCCTTCCTGCTCCCAAAGTCCATTGTTTGAGCTGTCGTTGCCACGGGAAACCCAAAGCCCCCCCCCCGCCCCTTCCCCCCCATACACACACACACACACACACACACACTTAACAAAACAAAACAGCCATGTGTCCCTTCCGCTGGACTCATTGGCCCTCCCGTGTCACTCCTCAGAATCCCGCCATGTCCGGTCCTACCTGGCTGCCACCCGGGGCTCTGGATAGCCCCGAGCGGGCCGTCCCTCAGATGTCTCGCCCTGCGGGCTCGCCCGTGTACCGCGCCCCCAACAAGAAGGCCGCTCCTGACTTCCGGCCCAAATACAACCCTTACGACCACAATGGAGCGGGAGCCGGAGGGATAGCGACGAGGTACATGGCAACCGGACCCACAGGTAAGATATTTTTTTTGGGGTGGTCTTTGCAAGGAACCTTAAATACAGGTGAACCGGATTCCAATGTTCTGTTAGGCACCATCAAATGGGGCAGCAGAAACGTTTAATTCAGTGGTTTTTTTTTCCTTTTGGATGCTACCACTAGAGGGAGCCCCATACCAGCAGTGGTACTTGCACCACACTTCGCTCCATAAAGTCGAATCTAACGTCACTTCCTGTCGTTCGACAAAAATATCCACCATTTAAAAAACAAATTTTCGTCAAATTAGTTTGCACAATGCGCAGGTTGGACAGCAGCCCCCCAACATGACAATTGTCACGATGGCACTTTGTGTTGTTTTATGATGTTTCCATTTTTAGCGATACCTTGAAAAGTTGATCAAATGAGATCATTGGATTTTTTTTTTTCCTTTCAAATGAATTTTTAACCCCTTCCTTGTCATCTTACGTGTTGATCTTGTGGAGAACGGTTCGTCCCAGCCCGCTCGTTCCGTTTTCTGCGTCTTTCGATTGACCCTAAGCTCTTTTCCACTGAGAGCTTCGGGTCAATCGAAAGACGCAGGAAACGGAACGCTGATCTGTGCTTACGTTGCGGCTTGGACACGGCACTGCTTCGGCGCCGGCGCTTTGCAAATGTTTCTTTTACTCAGAGGCGGGGCATGATGTCAACCGGCCACAAACCCTGTTCCGGGCACTTGAAAAGTAAGAATTCCCTGTCCCTGCTGTCTTTTGTGGCAAAGGTGGGCCCGTTCATCACTCACCTGGCCATCACTATTCCCCGCCTCCGCAAGACGAGCGCCAGCGGAGCGCCCACGGGGACGGCTACGAGCCGATCGTAGGTGCCTCGTCGACGTCGCCCGGAAACCCCTTTCTTTTCTTTTCTTTTTTTCTTTTTATCAATCGGCGAGCGTGCTTTCCATTCAGCAGCGTGGCCCCGACAACGGCGGGGGCCATCACTCCAAGATCGACGCCGACATCGACTCGCTCACCGCCATGCTGGCCGACCTGGACGGCCGGCCGCAGGACTCGGGCGCGCAAGTATGCCGCCGGCCGCGCTTTGTCCGAAATGTCTCGTGCAAAATATGGAAACGGGCACGCGCCCGAGTCGTGCGTATCGCCGGGGCCCGAGAGAGGAATGAGCGCCTCCTTTGATTTCCGCAGCTGTACGACAACGTGCCTTACAACAAGTACCTCTCGGCGGACGGCTACGACGCGGCGGCGCCCCGGAGCCGGCCCGACGCGGGATACCCTCCTCACCCCCAGAGCCAGTACCGGCCGCCGTCATCTTACCCCGGCGAGCGCCGCGCGTGCCCGTACGCCGCGTCGCAGCAGCAGCAGGACTTGCGCGCCGCGTACCCGCAGCCCGTGCCGGCATCCTACGCCACCGCCTCCACCCCCACCGGGCCCAGGTTCAGCGTGCAGGTCAAGACCGCCCAGCCCGTCACCTACTCGCAGACGGGGAGGCGGGCCGAGCAGGCCTACGCGCCGCCGGCGCCGCCTCGCCGGCACGCGGCGCAGGATTGGTACGCGCCGCACCCCGCCTCGCCACTTCAGGAGATGCAGAGGGGGCGAGGGGCCCAGGGGGCCTCGTCCAAAAGAGGGACGGAAAACCCTCAAATGGGAGCGCCGCTTAGTGCTGCTTACCCGTCCGGCAAGGTGGGTGGGGCCGCACGCACATTTGCAATCGAAAAAGATCATCTCAATCAATTCCAAAGTCGTATTTGTCGTCTCATTGACATCTTAATCCATCTATTCTTAGATGAACATCTGTTGTCAATGCAAAAAAACGTATTGAAAGTCGATTTGTCTCATTTGCTCGAAACGGATGACAAATAAACGTCGCATTTGGGATTTTACAATTGCGTTCCACTTTGAAGTCGACCGACTCCGCTTTTGTTTTCGACAAATTCATTTTTGAACAATCGAAAAGATGAGTCGAGTCACAAAGTCGATGACGTTGAGCGTTTCTTTTTGCATTTGACTGGCAATTGATGAACGAAGTGCATGTGGTTGATTTCTGCCTTTTGGCAGCACGCGGCAGCGCCGCCCCGCCCAGAAGAAGAGTTGGATCGCCTCACCAAGAAGCTGCTGTACGACATGAACCACCCGCCGGCCGAGGACTATTTCGGTACGCCCCGTCGGAGCGCCCGGCCGGAGGAGGAGGAGCGTCCAAAAGCTTTTGGCTTCTTCTCGCCCCTGGCAGGCCGCTGCGCCGGCTGCGGCGACGACGTGGTGGGCGACGGCAGCGGCTGCGTCGCCATGGAGCAGGTGTTCCACGTGGAGTGCTTCACCTGCGTCGCCTGCCGCGGCCGCCTACGAGGGCAGCCCTTCTACGCCCTGGACAAGAAGAGCTACTGCGAGGCTTGCTACATTGTGAGGGAACCGGCGCCGCCGCGCCCGCTCGCCGCTCTGCTTTTCCACCGTTTGGGGCGTGGCCTTCGCCGCCGCGTCGGCTTCCGGCCGTCGAACGCCATCGCGATCCGCAAAGCTCGGCCCGCCGCCGTGACTTGACGGCCACTCTACTCAAACTTCTGCGGATTTCTCGAGCGCTTGAAAGCGAAACCGCCGCTGTCTCCAAAGTGCTCTCGCGGTGGCAATTTCGGTTTCAAGTTGTCAACTCGTGTTTTCGAATTCACTGTCCTAACGTTGATCCCCCATCTTGCAAATTCGTTGTGAAAGGCGTGAATGTCGGTTTCAAAGTGTTCATAAAAAAAAAAGGAGAGGCTTGACTTTGGCCGGCTGCCGTAGATGGAAGGAGCCGGTCCCGCTTCAGAGCCAACTAAGCAAATAACTCAAGACTCAAATGGAAACAAGAACAACAAGAAAGACTTTTTTTTTTATTTGTTTTGTTTCCCTCCCCTGTTGCCAGAGTACCCTGGAGCAGTGTTCCAAGTGCTGCAAGCCCATTTTGGACCGCATCCTGCGCGCCATGGGGAAGGCGTACCACCCTCGCTGTTTTACCTGCGTCGTGTGTCACGGCTGCTTGGACGGCGTGCCCTTCACGGTGGACGCCACCTCGCAGATACACTGCATCGACGACTTCCACAGGTACGGGCGCAAAACAAGAGGCGCTTTTACCGAGCGGTGCTAACTGAGCCGCGCCCCCCGCCCGACAGGAAGTATGCGCCTCGCTGCTCCGTGTGCGGCGAGCCCATCATGCCCGACGCGGGTCGGGAGGAGACGGTCAGGATCGTGGCGCTGGACCGAAGCTTTCACGTCAACTGTTACGTCTGCGAGGTGAGTCGCGTGCGGCAACTCGTCCGTCCATCCGAGACTTGATTTTGGCACGGAAAAGTCAGCGAGACCTTCCCGGCTACCTTTCTACCTGTAAGGAGTGCCAATCTACCCAAAGAATGGATCCTAGTCATCTCCCGCGATGAAGAATTGCTCGTTGCGGTTCTCCTTTTTTACCGTCGTTGACTAACCGAATGCTGACTAGCTAGCTGCGGCGCGCGGCAGCGTGTATACAAATACACAGGACACAAATACAGTGAAACTCCTCTGCAATGAAATCATGTTTGCATCAAGAAATTTTTCACAACAGAAGGTTTTTCACTGTAGCAAATTTGATCTCGGCTGTAAACACACACATGCACACAAAACGTATATGTGTACTCTTTTACACTTTTATTCCAATCCTGTACATAGTGCATAAATATCAGTATACACTTATTTGATATTGTTTTACAGGATATTAATCACTCCACTTTGTTGGTTTTAAAAAGTCATGTATACTCTTTTGCTTCCCAACACTTTTCAATTTCTTGGATAATGTCTTCTATTTTGCTTCCTCCGTCTTTCATTTTGATCACTTTTCCCCTCTCTTCCAGCGTCGAGCTCTTCTTGTCTTAGCTGCTTGACATCCAAAGGTCCGTTTTGGAGCCATGTTAGCAATGCAACGTTCTTGCTGCATCTGAAACAAACAAAAACAAATACTTCCTGGACTACTGCGCATGTGTAAACCAGTGTGGTGGTTGCTGTTGCCGTTTCCCAACGAAGCAGCAGAGGTCGCCGTTGGATTAGACTTTTGCGGAAGGCTTGTTTTCGTCGTCGTGAATCTCGTCACGAGGCAAGAGCAGAGAAAAATATTTCGTATGACGGAACGGGGGGATTTTTCGTCGTCGGGGGAGCCGAAAAGTGGGAATGGCTTTCATGCATGAACATTTTTTCACATCAGGGGGTATTTTCGCCCATGTGGGTTTCGTTGTGGAGGAGTTTCACTGTAGAAAAAAATGGGAACGAAAGGTATCCCGGAAGGCGGGCCGTAGCGTCGCTTTTGCGGCGGGCTGACTGTCATCTCCTCCCTTGGGCAGGAATGCGGCCTCCTGCTGTCCTCCGAGGGCGAGGGGCGCGGCTGCTACCCGCTGGACGGCCACATCCTGTGCAAGGGCTGCAGCGCCCGGCGGATCCAGGACCTCTCGGCCAAAATCTCGACCGACTGCTGATGACCGACATGCCGTGGGACACCATTTTTTTTTTCTTTTTTACATCACACAGCTTTAACAGTGCCCATCGTCCTTTGTCTTTTATTTGCTAATCTGCGTGTTGTGTGACTGATCCAAATGAGTGAAGGAGCCATCGTCACCTTTCGGTACAGATTTTGTCCTATACGGCACTGGTACTTGGACACAAATTTCAAACGGAAGGATGACGGGGGTAAAAAAAAAAAAAATCCCTAACTGCCTCAAAACACAATAACTGTGACTGCTACATTTGGACAGGCTGTGCCGTAGCCTGGTAGAAGTGTAGCTAAAAGGAATGTAGTATTTAACATTGAATTGGTTTGAGAAGTTGTAGCCGCAATGAATGTGTGTGTGTGTGTGTGGGGGGGGGGGGGGGGGGGGGGCTCTTTTTGGAGCGTTACTCAGAACGGTGCAATGAGGCCGACTGTTGGATCGGAATAGAGGGTGAAAGGGTTGCCCGAAAATGATCCATCAATCAAGACTTCCTTCTGCCTTGTGGATGCTGCTCTGTGCGCCGTTCCACTTGTTCCTGCGCACAGAGCCCTAGACATGACGCCGGACAAAACACCACATTAGGGCAAGAAGTACGTGTTCGCAAAATTGTCATTCGTGGCCATGAAAGTCTCAGTTCCGCCAACGACAAAGCCGCGCGCCAAATACAATATTTTGGCTCCGAAACAGAAACAATGTGCACAAAACACTCATTTGTTGCTCCCGAACCTGAAAGCGTGGACACAAAACTGCTGCAAAACGCAAAATACTCAGTTATGACGATGACATATTGGAACCTGACTGCCCATCCGTTGCACCTCGGGGATATAATATTGATAGAAGTGGATCAGAGGCGATTGCTCTAAGATTGCAAGGGTAGCTAAGCGTCCCCAGGCCTAAAACGTCCAAAAATAAGTGATCAAATACATGTGTGTACATACAATTGTGTGTACATGTCATTGACGAAATATGTGCTTCAACTCGCTCAACTTTCCGAATCAGCTTTTTATGACCGGTTACGACGCGACTCTCTTATTCGTTCCTGCAGCTTCACTGTGCTTTCAGCTGTGTGGACGCTGAGCGTCGAGAGTTCAGAGCCCGTTGTCCCAATGCATTGAAACGAGACGAGTCATTGGATAAATGCTGGTTTTGTCCCGCCCATCGGACGCTCAGCGTCTCGGGGAGTCTATGGACAGTGGGCGTTTATGGGCGGGCTCGGGCGCTCAGCTTCTCTGCATGATGATTGGATGATCTGTCTGAGGCTGAATCTGTGCTTGATTGACATCGAAATGAGCCAATCACCGATCCTTTACTGTCGGCATCCGTGGGAGCATTTTTTTCAATTCTCATTCTGTTCTGAGTTGAACTGGAGACTTCTTCTAATCATCTTAGCGACACTCTCTTTTTTAAAAGCGACTAGCGACAGATTAATCTTTTATTTCTGGTGTGTTTTATTGTCGTTGCTTGTGTTCACAGACTGACTTATATCACCACAGTTTCCAAGAGTATAATTCGCGTTTAAAATAAACGGACACATTTTATGATGTAGGCCGAAATTGAGCTTCCCCGAGTGATGGCAAAATGAAGCCCCTTAAAGCAGTCGAACCCTGCAGGGAAATACTGGACTGTACTTCACACACACACACACGTCGGGGCTTCAAGATGATATATTTCGACTACGCCATCATGTGGACAGAAAAATGTATAACAGGCTTTGTGCATGCAATAAAATGGCGGCGTGCAAATCATGCTCTGAATCCAAAAAAAAAAACATTTGAAGAGTGTATTGACATGAATTGTTCTGTGTTACTTTGTCTATGTTTGTGCTTATACAACAAGTGAAAATGTGAAATAAGAAGGTCAAATAAAGTGCCTATTTATTTTTATTTCAAAACAATATTTTTGTGACGTAGCTGAGCGGTGAATTTCAAAATTCGCGTGCTTCAGTCTCGATTTAGACAATTTTAGAAAAAACATACATGTAAATAACCCTTAAATTGTAGCACAATATATTTTTTAATATTTCCCGATGCCACCATAAAGAAGTCATATCTGTGCTTGGAGCACATAATTCCCCCCCTCCATTACGGGCGAATGCTAATCGTCATTATTAGCGGCCTTCAAAATTCAGGCTAAACTCTCGACCGAATTGTCTTTGTACTGTAACTGTCAGCGTACTGTCACAAAGGACAAATGTTAACCTAAGCATGAAATAAATGTACTCACCACGTCTTTTCTGGATGTCTCACCGGAGCGTGCATGGGCAACTGTGGGCAAGGAGTGTCGTCGTTATCTGCGAGCGCTGTCCTCCTCCTCCTGGGCAATCGGCTGGTGCCTCGCGAGGTTCACACCCAGTGAGGGCCCCGGCAGGGCCCTCGCCTGATTATTGTTTCAGGAGGGTTGTGGGGCCCTTCTCCTTTTTAGCAACGAGCAAGCTCGGGTAGCTTGAAGGGCTTCTTGGACAAAGCAAGAGGAGCTTATCCGGACACGGCCGATTTGAATGAACCACGTTTTACCCCGTTTGAGTGGCGATCGACAGACTGCGTCAAGCCAAAGCAACACCCCTTTGCCGTCACTCGACGCCGGCTCGGCCAACTTCCTTCACCCGTCCAGACCTGGTCATTTGAAGATTCCAGGCTTTTGACGGCATCGTAGTCCTCCCAAAGTGTACGCACCCAATAATTGACGAATTTGCGATCGCTCCCTTCGTTGAGGGAACAAACCGGCTTCGTTTTGACCCGTCTGACCTTTCAAGTTTATCCGAGGAGGCAGGGTTCTGCCATCGTCCTTCCCTCCGACCCACTTGCCTTTTTCTACACGTCGACCGGTTCCAATGCGCCAGCGTAATGCTCAGGTATCCCAACAGGGACACGTTTCACGGGGTAAGGACGCCGTGCAGTATCGCTTTCCGTCACAAAATGAGGCTGAACCGTCCTTTTCCTCTTCCGTACGTGCCCTTAAATGTGGCGCTCAGAAACTGAGCATTGCGGGTAACGCGACGTCGGCGCGGCTTTTCATGAAAAGGATCACCCCGATGACACAAGCCAACTTTAACTGAGCCGAGGCACATATATTTACAGGAGAAAAATCTCACATCACACCACAAATGTCACAAAAAGTGGAAATCCGAAAAGTCTCGTCCCGGTGGGAGCCGACCCCGACGTTGACTTGGTGCGAATTGGAAAGTGAACTCAAAGCATACATGCGACAGGATCGGGTTTGAACACACAGCGGTTTGGGAATAACAACATGAGAATTAAGAATGGGAATAATAATATCGCGGTCGTGTCAGCAGGAGGTGAAGGTCTTCCAGAAGAAATTGCGGCAACCCGCCTTGCGCTCTCTTTGGCCGAGGGGCAGATGTCGCCGCGTCAACGCCGGCCCGACGCCCAGCTGGGGCGGCGCCTCGTCGCTTGACGCCACTTCGTAGATGAGCCTCAGCAAAAGCCAGCGAGACGAGGCCTAAAAATAAAAAAAAGGAGAGAGAACATCAAGATCAGCAAGATCAGCTTCACGTTTCGTTCCTTATAAAACTATGCAGGCAGACGAGCTCATCTGGAAAGAAATGGAAAACGAGGTCCGCTGCGTCACTAGGCAGCGGACCTCTGCCTGGTGAGGCTGACTTTACTAAGCTGTCCGGGCTGCCACCGTGCCGCCCAACTGTGTTCAAAGATCTGTCAAAATTTGACGTATATTCAACTCCTGTTATTAAAAAAAAAAAAATTTAACAAGTGTAAGTTGAGGGGTTCGTAGGTTTTGAGTGGATACACAACGGTATCACCCGTAACACAAACACTTCCTGGTTTCCTTCAGCCAATCAGACAATAGCAACATAATCTTCTTTGAGCAATTATTAAACGGAATATAATTTAGGTAACTGTAACACAAAAGAATATAATGCTCAAATATCAAATGAAAATAATAAATAATTTAACATAAACTTACAAAAGCACTATTTCCGTCGGAGTCTGAAGACTTGTGTGAGTCGCCTGCGGAGACTTTAGTACGCGTTGCCACATAGTAACCGCGATGAGATGCAGGACGGAGCAACCCACCTTTGCCGGCGCCGCGTCTGCTCCAAGGGCCTCCGCGAGCAGGAGCCCCGCGTCGGGGGCGGCGGCGCCCAACCGCACCAGCAGCCCGCCGGACAACACAAGCGCGAGGAGCACCAGCGGCCGAAGCATCTTCGCCGGATCATGTGACGGCCGCTCGGCCGCGCTCGCCCTGTTAAATAGCCCGCGGTAGGGGGTCAGGGTGTGTGTGTGGGCGAGGGGTGGGGGGGGGGGCGGTTGCCACGACGCGTTTCGCCAGATGATGCAAGTGTCACTCGGGTAGACGGTCCGTTTTGCTTGCTTGCTGGTCAGAAAAGGGAAGACGAAAGGTGGCAAGGCGGTGGGCGAGTGGGCCGGTTCCAAGCTCGGTTTACAGTCGATGGAAAAATACAGTCGTAAAAAAATCTGGAAATACAAAAAAATAGAGTTATGGTGACCTAATCTTAAGACCTTGAAAAACAGGAAATTAAATCAGAAAAATGTTTGTTTTTTTTCAATCATAAGAAAACAAAACAAAAAGATACTTCGGGGGAGAAAAAGCCCCAAAATAAATTCAGTTTTTTTTTCAAGTGAATGCAATCTCGCTTCCGTACAATTTTGTGAGAGAGAGTGGGGGGGAGAAAAAAGAAATGTTCATTTTAGATGATTTAAAATATAATGATTCAGCCCTACTGTGACCTTAATCAGGAGAATATAAAACGGAGGGATGAGTATCAAACGCACCCTGGCTTGTGTCGGTCAGGATTAGCCATTGGGCGAGCAAGCACACCGTGAGGCGAGGCCCCCGCACGCTGAGGGCCTTTGTTAATGACACACAGTGACTCAAATGTTAACCAGCAACACTCCACCAACACTCCCTGCCGACAGCTTTAGTCAGCGGACGACGCAATGGGGGAGCCATTATGCAAATGTCAAGGCCCTGTCGCCAAAGGCCTCCGACATCGGACGAGCGGGCCGCTTCAAGATCGTAACCACCCCCCCCACCCCCCTTTCGAGCGGATCAATCTGACCACGGCTTGACTTGTGCGCTCCAGCGGCAGAAATGGGACCGCACATCGTCAGGGTCCATTCGACATCTTCACCGACTCGACACGCCAACGCGGGCGCAGAAAAGCGCCGCAGTGGCCGATTGTGCATTTCCTTGGTCGAAGGGCAGAACGGTCTCGGTCAGTTTTGAAAACAGACGTTTCATTTGACTTCCTAGTTTCGCATAGGTTAGTGCGAGCTAGACTACAGAGGCGAGCGGCGGCATTCTGGACCCACTGGAGACGCTTGATGGAGGCTCGGCTGACTCCACAGTCAAGCACGTGACAGTCATCCAGCCAAGATGTGACGAAGGCATGAATGAGTGTACAGTAATCTCTCGTTTATCCCGGTTAATGGGGACCAAAACCAAGCATAAATGAAAATCTGCGAAGTAGCGACCAATTAACCTATATTTAAAAAAAAAAAGAAAGAAAAATAAAAAAAATTTAAGTCCACAAACGGTCCGCGCGAAGCTGCGAAAGTCAGCAAAACAACAGCGAGTCACATAGAGCAACATATACAGTACTGTACTCCATGTATATGAAAAAGTGTATTTTTTTTTTAATTTTTATTTTATTTTTTTAGATGAATATGTTTGAAAAAATCCGCGATGCACTGAAGCCGCAATAAACGAACCGCGAAATAGCGAGGGATCACTGTATCTCCAAGTGCGAGCTGTATTCGCCGCCATGCTAACTGGTCAAGAGCAAACTTTGAGGCACTGCAGCTTTAGAAGGAAAAACAGAAAAGGCAAGTTGCTCAAGAGGGAGGGACCGGAGAGGGGAAAAAAAAAAAAAAAAACATTGTCGAGGGTGCTCAAGGGCCATTTGCTATTTTAAAACCACATTTAGGAATCCATTTTAGCACAGCGACAAGTTACAATTGAAATCTTCAAATGAAATCAACGCATCGCGCTTGGATGATTGGAAATTTCATGAGAGGGGCAGAAAACGTTGTGGGAGAATCCTCCCTCAAAGCCAAACGGCTGCTGAGTGATTGCTAATGAGTGGCACCCTCGGCCGTGGCAACGAGGGGCCTCCCGTTGGCCGCTCGGTTCCATCAAAAGCCGCTTTCCTGCTCGCCGCACCCAACCATGGCGTGGGTCTTTTATTTGTGGTAAGTGCGTGGGGGGAAAAAACGACCCAATTTCCCCTGTTTTTCTTTTTTTGGTTTGTTTGTTTTAATGTGTGCGGTTTGGTCTTGCAGGGCAGCGTCGCTGGTGTCCGTGTCGGCCGAGCCCGTTCCCGATGGTACGGGATGAGCCCCGCTTTGCGGAAATCCCGAGCAGCGTTTCAACCATTTTGGCATTTTGCTCGCAGGAGTCCTGGACATGGAGTGTCACGATCGTTCCTTCGTGATAGCCGTGGACCTCTCGTTCGCCGGGGATGACGCTCGCTTTGAGGCCGTTGGTATGAGCGATTGCGGTCCCGTCATGCTTGGATTCAGGAGAGAATTCCTGCCCACCCACCCTTGACTTTTGTTGCAAACATGACAGAATGAATAGTTTGTTATTGTAAGGACATGAGAGGGTTGGTGCGGGTGTAGTTGCAGCCACGGTGGAGATCGAACCTGGACCTCCCCCAAATGACATTCCATGCCTCTTCTGACCTCGTAGACAGGACGGGCACGTACGCCATCACCGAGGGCTACGCGGCCAAGTGCGGCTACAGCGTCACCGTCTCGCCGGCGAGCGGACGGGCGGAGCTGCGCGCGTCCTACTTCAGCTGTCACACGGACAAGCGGGTATCTGCGGGCGTTCAATGCAAGGAAACCACAAATACTGACGGCTTTGCTGGTCTCTCAGGACGATCGGGCGTTCGCGTTCCGCTTCAACCTGCTGTCGAGGCGCGACGGCGACGTGGTCTACGGGCTGAACAAGACCTGCGTGCCGTCGCTGAAGTGGTCCCCGCGAGAGGTCTCCTGTGAGCTCAACTACATGGAGGTCCGATGACCGGTTCGCTTCGGTTCCCTTCCGTTCGGGTCCGGACGTGTGCCGGTTTGTCGGCAGGTGTCCGTGGATAGCGGAGTCTCGTGTGCCGCCGGGACGAAAGAGGACAACCGGAATGTTCTCAGACACGTGAGTTCCGCCGTGACGCTTCGATGTCGAAACGTGTCTGACCTCAGCGTCTGACCGCTCGCCGCCGCCGCTGCAAAACTCGAATCCCCTTTGGCGCAATGACATGAGGAGATTTGGGACCTTCCCTTTTTTGGAAGTTCGACAGGGTTTAGGTCGGGAGAGGTCGAGGGAGGTGGCCAGTCCAGCACCATCACCCTGGGATTCTTTCGGAATGCAGGGGTTGTTGGCTTCGGTTGAAATTCTGCTCGGGCCCATTTCCTGGGAGGCTGGCGTGGTGTTACGGGACATTTTGGCAAACGACAGCCGCACCAGGCACGGCAGCGCTCTTGTAGCCCCGGACCGCGACACTCGCCGCCGCCACCGTCGCGCCTGACTGTCAGCAGGACGCTCGTCTTTGTTTCTGGCCTGGCTACTGCCGCTCATGCTCGATGCCCTCAGAACCCCCAAAAGTTGATCTTGTCTCATCAGACCACACGAGCGGTTCCGGCCGTACGGTCAACCCTACTTGAATGTGTCGGTTGGGATCCTCTTGCGGTCTCTGCAGGCGCACGGCTCCTCGACTTCGGACTGGCAGGTGATGTTCCAGAGGGATGAGGAGCAGATGGAGCCCATGAGTCTGCGGGATGCCGAAGAGCAAGGGTACGCCTTCCACCTTGGCGGCGAGAGGCTGGTCTTCCGCACACCCTACGGACAGCCGGATTCGTTCATGGCCATGGTCAGAGTTCTCGAAATGGTGGACATTTTGGGGAATGAACACAAATGCGCAAAGTGGATGGCTGCCTTTTTCTGTGGGATTTGAAACGGATTTCACTCAAGTACAGCGGTGCTCCGACTCGTGCGTTCCATTTGTTCGGTCCCAATTTTAGCAAATCGCCGACTCTTTGGCGTACGGCGTCCGCGTTCTACCCCCGAAGCTAACGTTCCAATCGGCCTCGTTTCCCAGTTGAACATGCCACGGAAATGTACCGGGCCCTTTCCGTTCCTTGAACTCTCTCCACTTCTCAGGTGAACGGCATCCCCGTCGAGGTGGTCCACGCCACTCTGGTCTCCAGACGGCGCTGGTCGCTCATCATGGTGGACTTGGTGGCTACCTGCTCCATGCGTACGTACGCTCTCCTGGCTTGCCCGGAAAGTCCTCCGATCCCCCCCCCGTCCTCGGTCACGTCATCTCTTGAACAGACCAAGGTGCTTACGAGGACGACGGCCACGTGGTTTTCAAGACTCCGGAGGCGCCCTATCCCGGTCCTAATGTCACACGGGTCGGCGTTAGCTTTGACGGCGGAATTTTTGAGGACGGCGGCAGCGGCGACGTGGTGACGGAGAATGACACGGTCCGGATTAGAATACCCTTGGATGCAAAGGGTGGACTCAGGAAGGTCTGCGTTCAAGTCTTTCTACTCATTCACTCCCAAAGACGTTTTTAAACGTCTTTTCAGACTTGGTCTAGAATTGGCTGGTACTGAATGAGTTGAAGCAGAAATGAGGTGTTACAAGTCCTGATTCCATTCTGAATTAAAAAAAAAAAAATGTGTGTAGATATCTCCATCTACGTATGTGTGGTGACAGGTAAAAGATAAGAAAAGCTTTATTTGTCTCACAAATTTACAAGTCGGTTGCTTCTCCCGACCGCAGAGTTTTGCGAGTGGCGACCTTTACGAGTTCTACACTTTCCATGTCCACCTGGAGCAAATGTTTGAGGACGAGGACGCGGAGACCAGGCTGCGCCTTCACCGGATGCTGACCACGCCCTTGCTGCCGCGCCCCCTTTTCACCCAGAACCGAAGTGTCATCGAGGAGCGCCTCTTTCAGGTCTACCTGGGGGACGTGCCCCAGGACGTCCGCCTGGTTTTGCTCCGACTCAACGGGCGAGAGGCGCTCTACACAAACTCCTGTTCAGTCGCCGCCGTGGCGCAACCCAGCCGCGGCCACGGCTACTTGCTGAAGGTGTCCTTTGACGACCCCGCCGTCACGCAGCGGGTAGAGCTCATTCTTTGAATTCCGGTCCTCTGAAAGGGTGCCACTCACGAGTCTTCTCCCCCTAGTACCAGCAAGTGTACGGAACTGTGCAATACAGTTTGGACATCAACTACACGCTGAGTGTTCTGCCCGAAAACGAGCTCTACGCCTACTCTGTGAGCGTCACGGCACTGGCTGGCCCCTGTGAGTCAAATCGTGGCATGAGGAGTGCGGTCGCTTGAGCGGATGTCACCTCGCGCCTTTTGCGCTGGGACCGGATATCAGTGATGAATTCTGCTTTGAGCTCCCCCAGTCCTGAATGCAGTTTGCTCAGAGTCCGGCATCAGCTTCGACGCGGACCACTGGGCGTTTGACTTCCTGTGGTCCATCGGAGTGGGCTCGGACACGCTGACGCCGGAGTTGGCGGCGCGGCGCGGATACAAGATGAGCAACCAGAGTCACAAACTGCAGCTGGATGTGCCGCTCCACTCGCGGGGCTTCCGCTACGAGGTCGGAGGTGGTCCTGGGTCTGGTTCTCTCCCAGTGGGGAGAACTCCATTCAAAAAAAAAAATTGGGGCTCTGTCATTTGTTTCAGGAAATCACCCTGGAAAGGTTCTTGGGCACTTTTGAGATCCTCGTGAAGGAGCGTCAAACGGGAGCGGTTGAAAAAGCCGTTACAAAGACTTGTCCTTTTGTGACCTCAGAACTCATTGGTAAGTAAGTAAGTAGAGCAGTATTTTGCATGTTGGAACCCACATTGTCCGCTGTCGTGTCTGTGACTGGGTGTGTGTCGCTTGAGAGCGACGCAAGCATCAGCAAAATGAGTGCGTAAGGTTAACTGGTTACTGTCCGGGGAGCCGTCGCAAGGACTGGCTATCGGTAGCTCGTTGATCCATGTACTTGTGTACACAACCTGGTGGAGGTGTTTTGCTGTTCAGATCAGGGTTGCACTTTTTTTTTTTTGAAAGTGTGTTCCACTGATGGGAGGATGACGGTGGTGGCTGACTTGTCTCGGATAACCCCCAGCGGTGCCGCACCGTCTACGAGCAACCTACTGGACACTTTCTGCGGCCCCGCAGAAGCCGACGATACCAGGGCACTTTTCTCTTTCCCGCTCAACAGCTGTCGCTCCAAAGTCAAGGTGCGTACCCAACTTTTGCGTAACGGTTTGCAAATTATGACATTATCTTCCTCCCGCACTCCTTTAGCTCCACCGTGGTCACGTGATCTATCAAAATGAGATTTTCTACAGCGGCTCTGAGGATGCCGACGAAAGGTTTGTATCTCTCTCTTGACATGGAGAAAAGAAGGAGAGGCAGTTAGTGGAGCTTATTTTCAAATCGATGAGCCGTTACGGGCAATGTTAAGATATTCGACGATTTTGGGATCATCGGTGATGGCAGTTTTTGATCTAAACTCGGGAGTTGGCTCTCGTAAATGTCGACACCAATCGCCGCAGTACTTTTCTTGCATTGGCCGGAGCCGAAAAAGGTTCCCACAAAACAAATTTGCAAATGCTGTACCGTGAATGTGTGTGTTGGGGATCTGCCGTTGATCCTCAGGTTGGTGGTGCAGTGCGCGTATCCTCTGGAAGGCCTGCACAGGCTCTTCTCCACGTACAGGTTCGAGTCGGACGACCCCGGGACGGGCAGCGTTATCTTCACCAAGAGGCCCGCAGCGGGGATCGGCACGGCGGCGCTTCGTGGTCCCGTCACGACAACCAGAGCGGCTCCGACGACGGCCGCGGCGATGAGGAGCAGCGCCACTCCGGCCCGCAAGCGTTTGGGCTCCAATCCCGCAGTGCGCTACGTCCGGGTGTCGAAACATGGCAAACCTCACACTGACGTGAAAAAAGGTTAAGGCATCCTAAAATTGTTCAAATGGCTCTCCTGCGGTCATGCTCTGACCGACTGAATTTCTTGACAGGTGCTAATGGATATGGATGGCAGCGTGGCAGAAATGGAATAGATTTTTAACTGTAAATTCAATAAAACTGTATTCACTCTTAAAGTACTAAACGGGTCCTTTTGGGGAAACTGACTGCTTTACTCAAGTTGCACCAACCGCACACTTGGTCACGTCTCGAGCTTCTTCCTGACACCACAATGCTTGCTTTCCGGCGCCTCGTTCGAGGGCCCGCAGGCAAAAGGAAAAGGCTCGGAGAAATTCTTCGCCCTTGTCTGGTTTCATGAAATCAATCCCGAATAGGACACCCTTGGCAGCCATCGCTCCAAGTCGGCCTGTAGAAAAAGTGAAGCTGGTTCGAGGAACAGATGACGTGCAAACGCAGACTTGTTGGATAAACTCTGAAAATCAGACTGCTCAGATGAAGACAGTTTGTTCCCCTAAGTGAGCTACCACAACATTGTAACTGAATTAGAAAGGGCGTCTCCACTTTGCGGGGAGTTTGATGTTGTCAAGTACCTGGAATCGTCAGTGTCGTCTGGATGAGTGAAAGATGTTTGCTGCTTTGTCCTGTAACGGAAGAGCTATGTTGCTTTTAGGTTACGCAGTACATCGATCGCAACTTTAATGATGTAGCACCGCTCAATAAATCATTTGTCTGCCTAAACCTGTCTTACTGTATGTCGAAGATGCCTTTCCAGTTAGCTTAGCTTGCTAGCTGCTAACAGATACGTCTGCAGGCCTAATGTGGCAGGGTTTCAAATGCTAATGCTCAAAAGGACAAGCCAGCTGTGTCAGCTGCCACGCTTGGACTTGTTAAATGAGGGGAAAAAAAACAAAAAACGAAGGATTGTTGATTTTGATACCATTAGGGGTAAAGGGTTGAACGACACTCCATTCAGACTAAAACGTTAAAATAATAGTTTGTCATTTCTCCTGAGTCATCAGCTGCTAGCCAGCTCAAAGAAAGTCACTTTATGTAGTCAAACCATGGCCAAGAGGAAAGTAGCCATTCGTATTTTTATGGGTTGCTAAGTGGTAAGACATTGTAAAATGTGATGGAGGTGGAAAAAAAAAGTGTTTTGGATCACAATATGACAAAATACGAAGCACGGTGCTACAAATTAGATCCTACCTTCTATAAATTGTTCAAAGCAATTCAATGTAAATGTCGTCCCGAAAACGGTGACGAGCAAGGACAGTACGTCGATTGGACCGGACCGACTGCCGTTTTGGACCCGCGTCACGCAGGTGCGATTGTAGCCACGCGAGGGCGCCGCTGCAGCGGTTGGGACTCATTTGCTCGGCCGCTTCGCGCGAGGAGAGTCCGATTCCGAACTTGCCCAGCTGCACCCAAGTCAAGTGTCGGACCACGAGGGGCAAAAAGCCAAAGTGTCCCAACTTGATTTTCTGCATGGAACCCAAGCGCGAGTTGGTGTCGCCTGCCGTGCCCCGGCGCGCAGTGCAGCCGCCGTCGTCCCACAGGACCCTGCAGCAGCCCTCCCGTATGGCCGAGTACGAGGCCGCAGGTCTCGGCCTCTCCCCACCGAGGCAGTACCTCATCTGGGCTCCAATTTGGGACCGGGACTCCTCTTCGGATTCCCCCGCCAGCTACTACGAGGCCACCCCGTGGTGGGGAGCGATCCCCCGCACTGCCAGACTTTTGGGGGTAAGAGTCCAAAGCAGGACGGTTAACACGGCAAAAGAACAACAACGCTTTTGTCGCTAGCTTCCACTTGTTCACACTCAGTTCGCGTGATTTTTGTTTTTGGAAAGCCTTCCCGTTTTTATTCACAGCCGATTAAATGCTTGGTCGTCAATTTATCGAACACTATTTCCCAATTTAAAAAAAATATATTCGTAAAACGCACAAAAGTTACATCGAACATCAGTGATTGGCTGATTTGCTTCGTGTGACGAAAAGTTGGATTTCATTTTTAGATTTATTCACCGATTTACTAAGAAGTAAACAGTTTCACATCAAATTTGAATGGATTTGTGGTTAACTTAGTGGAAATCAAAAATGACTAAAACAAGCCATTGTTACTGGCAGTATAGGCCAGGTTTCATTTATTTGGTGTAAAAAAATATTCAATGAAACCATTTTACACTCACAAAGAGGTTCAAATAGTTCATGTCATGAACAAAATAGAATAAATTACATTTATATTTAATGTATCAAACAATCCATTTATTTTAAATGCAAAAAATAAAACAATGGGTTCTGCATATTTTTGATAAACCTAATAAAAATATGTACTATTTCACCAAACTATTGTATTGAATGATTGATTTGTGTCAAGAATTCATAATTTTACATCCGTTTCAAAAATATTTGAGGAAATAATGACTTTTATTGTAGCTATATCAAGGGTTAAAACTATTTTTTTAAAATATGCACATTTTTATCCTCACACGGGTGGCGGGTGATAATTTATGAAATAATGTATCAAGTGTAAAGAAGCTGAAATCGGACATTTTACATACACAGTAAAAATCTTTCCCTTATTTAGCGTCGGTAAAAATCTGAAAACAGTTTGACATCCGGTATATTCTTAAATTGTTTCACTGGAGTCAGTGTGTTTTTTGGGGGGTGGCTCCAGCAAATGTAACAATATGTCGAGAATCTGTTCAATATTTTTCACGGGCCCATCCCATCTGTGAATTTTTGGGAATCCAATAAGCACAAAACTGTTGCCGCTGTGGCGTTCTTCTCTCGTCACTCCCCATTTCTCTCCAGCCGGCATGGAGCGGCCTCCGGCTCAACACTCCCCCGCCACTCATGTGCACGAGCCCGGCTCCTCCCAATCGAGCCGACCCCTTCCCGCGCGGGCCGCACGCCTTCAGGGTCTTGGGCGGCCCCACGTGGATGCCGTGCTGCGACGGTCACCCGGGACGGACGGTTGTCCAGCTGAGCGCCGAGGAGGACCTGGCCGTCACGTGTCTCCTCAAACTGCGTTACCGAGACCCAGAAGACCCTCAGGTAGGCTTGCAAAATATCATGGGAAGTTGTCAACTTGAACAATTGGCAAAAACGGCAGGTAAGCTGGGCAGGCTTGGATCCGCCCGACGGCGCGAGTGGCGCGGGATGGCTGGAATTCAGGCGACTGGATGACGTGGAGCATTATGAGGAGTACCTGCTGCCCATTCCGCCGCCACCCCCGATCGAGGAACATCCCTGATGCCGGGGGACAGCAGCTTGAAAACGTTTCCAAGTACACCAAAACGTCTGTTTTCTTTGGACTGAGGTCCAGTTTGTTATTGTTGTTTGACACGTTGACAGCATCGGATCGGGTTCCGTGTACTTTCCGTTGCGGCTTCAAAACACAAGTTTGTATAAATAGTTGGCCAGTTCATCACCGGTTTCCTGCGTGATGAAAGTGAACGGCCGTAATGTTGCCGTGAAGGTCCAAGCTAAAGTTTCTTGACGGTGGTGACCTGGCTGGCGGCCTGGATGACGCGATAGCGCTCCTTCAGGTTGCGCCTCCTCACGTGCTCGTTGGTGATTTCGATGATGTTGCTGACGGGGAACCAGCCCTTCTGGCCGTCGGACAGGCGGATGCCCTCGTACCAACCTGTGGAAGCGGAGAATTGACCCGGAGGTTTTCGAGGCTGGATTCTTAAGCCCGACCCAAAATGTAAATGCACCAAAATAAAAATACAGCTGTTCCCACCCACCCCCCACCCATTTCTTTTGTGTTCCCCCACCGATACGGACTTTTTGAGGCATCGTTTCATGTTGATGCAGTGACAGCTCCGACTAAGGCTGAAGTGAGAGTTGAAACTGTCACAGAGGCAAAAGTTACCAATAAAAAGCTCATTTTCTAGTCTCCGTTAACGGCGAAAAAACAAGGGATGACTGTGTTAGATATGAAAGCAAGTAACAAGAATGTAACCCCGTTTCATGTTTTGGTTGCCAATTAATGAGAGAAAGATTCGAGCGGCGCATTTCGTCTTACCCTCGTTTGTTTTGCGTATGACGTTGACAATCTCGGTGGGCTCCAGGTTGAGCTCGTCGGCCTGTTGGGCCGCGTACTGCTCCACGCACTGCACCTGAGGACAGTCTGAGACGCACGCACGCGCTGTCAATGCTTCAAAATCTCGAAAGCAGCGGCTCATGTCACAGTTTGCGCTCACCCCAGGCGTCGTAGACCACGTCGTCCTCCTCTTTGTTGGGGAAGGCCGCCATCCACCTGTGCATGTCCGGCCTGTCCCAAAAGAGGTTGCTCGTCAGGACGTGGACACAGGCAAGCCGGCTTGGGCAATTCATCGCTTTTGTCAAATCGAGTTGAATTTGTCAGCAGGACGTATTTCGGAGAGGCTTTCACAGTCTAGACCCGGGGGGTCCAAACCAGAGGCCCCTGGGGGCCATTTGTTGATTTTCAGCGGCCCGCGACATGACAAAAAAAAAAAAAGGGAATGAATAAAATCGACTCAAAACGACATTTGACGTGGGCCGCCGCAAGATGAGTTCAAAAAAGCTGGAAGTGGGAGGAGTGACAAGGGAAGTGTCCGAAAAATAGCCAGAGCCACGACGTCGAGGACATTTGTTTGGGCACGGGAGAGCTTTTCAGAAAGCATTTCTGATTCAAAGAACACCAATTGATGGAGGTCATTCAATATTAGAGGAAGAAGCAGTTTGTGCTCTTGGGCTGGTTTCTGAAGGATTCTCCAGAAACTGTTTGAAAAATGGTCACCTTCCTCCATTTTTCTGGGGTTCTGAATGTGGAGATTTGGCCGCCGTCAAGTGCAGAGCCGGATCTATTCCGTGAGAGAGAGGGCCGCTGGCCACCCCCCCAAAAAAACTCAACTATTTGCCTTCACGCCTTCAACAGACCGCCGATGAAATGAACTCGACAATCCAAATGCTCAAGAATTGCTTTCTTGACCGACTTTGGCGTGTTTCAAAAATTCGACGAATTTAACCCTTTCATGCGCCGCGATAACACGATAAAGCCGTCCACGGTAGTCACCGCTGGCCCCGAAAGACTCAAAGTGACCCTTTCGTCTTTCCATTTTTCTGTCGGCGGCCTTCCGACGGAAAAGTTTGGCCACCCCTGGTCTCCACCCAAAAAGCGGCAGCATCCTTGGCGGACAAGAAAGGAAGCTGGCTGAAAAAAAGATGTTGCGACTCCAAAGTTGTTTCACGGCACCTCCGTTGCAATTTACTGTGCAACCAAACACGCAACATGAATGAATTAGACACACACACGCACACACACACACACACACACACGCACACGCACATGGGGTAAATTGAAATGCAAGTCATGCTTTGTTTTCGAGACGTCACGGAAACGAAGACTGATTTCAAGCTAAGTTTTGACACTTGAACGCATGCCATGTTTTGAAACTGGATTTCACCGTCCAAATCATGGCGACGCTGATGATATTTTACCCTTGAGCATACTTGGCCGCGACCTTGAAACGGCCGTTGCGTTCACCACGGGTCCGGTTGGCGTCACGACGCTTCTGTCGTACTCACTGGGAGGGCGCTTTGATGAGGCGCTCGATCATGCGCCCGTTGTGGTTCTCCAGCAGAATGAGAGTGAAGCAGTTCTCGTACGGCCCGCTGCTCCTGTCCTCCTCCAGGGCCTGGACCTGCACCAGGGAGCGGTGGGCGTAGTCCAGCACCACGAAGCGCTCGGAGCTGTGAGATCGAGGGCGGGGGGGTGAGGTGAGGTGCGCCCACGCACTGGCGCTACGCTTGAGATTCGGGCTCACCCTTTCTTGACGGTGCTCGTGGTCACGATGAGAAGGTCATTGAAGAGAAAAACGTAGATGGGGTTGAACTTGACTCTCATTTGGAAGACGGTTCCTCCTCTGGACATTTCCTGGAGTTCGCCCTTCTTCTCCAGGAATCGCGTCTGGGAAATGATGGGGATGGCCTGCCGCCGAGGCGTCCCGTCAGCCACTGGCGGCACGGCGTCGACGGGCGCCTTTGGCGCCGTCCGCTTACCTTGAGCTTGTCAAACTCCAGCGTTTTGGAGATGAGGATCAACTCCTCCATCTGTCTCATCTTGCCCACCTCCGTGTTGCACTCGTCGATGATCTGCGCAAGCGCCAGAGGTCAAATGAGGTCAGCGGGCCTTTGAGCGTCCCGAGCGAGGTGGCGGCAGAGAGCGAGGTCACCTTGGAGACGGAAGCCAAAGCCTTGGAGGCCATCCGCTCCTCTTTGGTGCCCTCCTTGGTCCGCTTCAGGATGTTCTGGAACGACAAAACCGGAGCGCTCGACTTGACGTTTCCTGCCGGCCGAACGGCAACGCGCGGCGACTCGGGCGACGGGACGTGTCGCCGGGAGGCCGTTGCACCGAGCGACGCGGCGTCATGCGCGTTTGCTCCGAAAGGATTCGCCCGAAAGGCTTTTCATCCTCTTCCGTTTGCATTCCGTTGGAACTTTTGTCTTTTTGGCAATTCCGTTCCTTTTGATTGGTTTTGAGACTTTTCATTTTCTTGGAAAATGCTTCCCTTCACTTGAGTTTTGGAAATCCTTCTAAATTGCAGCTTCAACTGCACTGAGTGATATTTACGTTTTTATGTTACCAATGGCATGAGAAAATTGAGATGCTATTTATGAAGCATGATTCTAAGCAAGTCTATTTTGTTCGTAGTTTGCGTTCACTCTCAAAACTTTGGGCTCGACATTTTTGGGGTGTGTGGTTCTTTTGGGACCTAAAAGGACGAAGGCGCAGCAAAATTGAAAGCGTCCGACGTGAAAGCCGGCGTGCGGTTTGGTGCCGGCGTGTTAGAGCGCCTCGTGGTCACGGCGTGGAAAAGCCCCCCGCCGACCCAGTGGGATACCGTCGAGCCACCAAAGGCTTGATGTGGGCCAAGTCTTTTTGATTTGATTCGGTGGAGTCCGCTTGCTCATTTTTCCACTCCGCCAGGGTAGCGAGCGAAATGTAGAGGACGCACGCATCGCTTCCACTTGACGGAGACCGGAGGCAAAGGCATTTCTTTCTTTTCAGGCCGCGTGGCGCGTTGGCGACTTGGCCGCTCACCTCAATGAGCATTTTGATGCGCGTGATCCGCTGGAACGGCAGCAGCAGGAAGGACATGAACGGCAGCCGCTGGCACTGAGGCGACTCCTGGAGGCGGTTGATGACGGCGGCAAAATAGGCGTTGTTTTTCCTGCGGGGGAGCCCACGCAAGCGCTTAGCGTGCCACGCTCACGGGAAGGGAAGGCCGAGCCCCCGCGTCCGTACATGAGCGAGGTGAAGGTCTTCTCCTGGTAGATCTGGTTGCGGACGTAGTCGATGTAGGCCGGGAAGTTGTGCTGCGAGTGGTAGTGGATGATGTCGCAGATGTCCGAGAAGACGATGGTCTCGAACACGCGGTCCTCCAGGTCCTTCAGGAACCTACAAAAGCAAAGGACGCCGTGGGCGGCGCCGCTCCCGAGGAAGGGAGCGGCGCGGGCTCATCGGTGCGAGCGAGCGGCCGGCCTCACCTCTCGCTGACCTCGCGGATCCTCAGGATGTTGGAAAAGAGCGGCTTCTTGTCCCTGATGACCAGCGTCCCTTCCAGCTCCCGATTCTCCAGGAAGTGTTCGGTGAGAACGTGCAGCGAGCGAAGGTAGGACGCCTCCGACGTCAGGACCTCGAACATACTCTGCGCGGAAGAGCTCGCGCTCAGGGCCGCCCTTCCCGGGATGGCCCGGAAGAAGCCGGCCCAGCTGCCGCTTTTCCTCCCCTCACCTCCTGATACTTGCACTGTTCCGGGCCGAGCCGCTCCAGGACGCCGCTGTCCCGCACGGCGGGCAGGTTCTGCCACAGGGTGCACTCGTTGCGGGCGGGCAACTCGACGGCGTAGTCCGCGGTCGTGGTGCTGATGTTCCGGCAAACCGTCTGCCGGCGGATCTCTTTGGTGATGACGGTGGCCCGGTACGTCTGGTACAGAGGCTCTGTTGGAGCCGGCGATAAGGAAGGCTCACGTCCGGAGAAAATGCGACGAGCGGCGCGCCGAATCGGATTACAACCCAAACCCAAGCCCGTACGTTTTTTTTTGTGGTTTGTTTGTTTTGATGGCGCCAGAGTCCAGACAAGTATGAAAGTAGCCACTGGTGTCAACAAAAGTGAGACGAGCTAAGTGCAGTTTTGGATGTCACACCTTGAAAAGCCTCACAACGTTTTCAGCTTGTTCACCTTCATTTTTGGCCACATGCATCAATTTGTATGTGTGGGTTTTTTTTTTTTTTTGGGGCAGGGGGTTCTTTTACCACAGGGCTGCGTTACCCCCCCCCCCCACAAATACCTGGGTCTTTACTCCACTTGGATTATAAATTCATGACTCACCATTTTGCAGGCGGGACTTCCAGCTGTTGGAAAGTTCTGTCTTGGTCGCAGACCTGCAACGGGACGACAGCTTGAGCGAGGGGGGGACACAGCGCGGGGGGTCTCGAGTGGGGTCGACAAAACGCTCAACCGCATCGACACGCGCCCCCGCACACAGGGGGGGGGGGGGAATTTTGCGTGATCAAAAATTCTCAATTCATGGCACTCCGTGAGGATTGTGGAAATGTCAAGGCAAAGGGTCGCGCATTTGCTAACTCGATGCTAAAGTAAGAAGTGCAGCTTGTTCGCCACCAAGGGAGGAGGCGAAAGCAGCTGTTGTTGAGCCGCAGAGGTCGTCGGTCAAGGCTCATCGCTAGCGAGCCGCTGCGGCGGAGGTCACGCCGATCTCGGCCTTGACCTGCCGACCGCCTCTACGTCCCCGCAAAGCTTCTCGGCAAAACGTCCGAATCTGCGATTCTCCTATTTTGCTGTTCTTTGTGTTTGGACGAGGATGAAAATGCAAAGTGGCCGCGCCAGCCCGGTTTGTTGCCGTTGGTTCGTTCTTAGACAAAGTCGTCTCATTTATGATTTCATTATTTTCAAGGACCGTTGCATTTCATTTTGCGCCGCCGGTTTGCTGCGTATGGTGACGACGTGTCACTTTTGACTGTCTGCCTCCTGTTGGGACTTGCGTGGCACCAGAATGCTGCGCCACAGCTTTTGCCCATCAGATGAAGCGAAGTCTTTTCCTCGGTGACAAATGACGATCGGCGCGACAGCATCAAAGAGCGACATCAAGGTTGGGAACACTGAAACGGGGACGAGGCAACGCCAAACTGCGGTACGGGTATGTTGGCGCGTCACGTCGAGGCGAGTGGGGGCGCGGGGCGCAAACTCACGCTTCTTCCGCCAAATCCTCCTTGCCTCCTTCGCCGTTCTCTCCTTCTAAAAGACGAAGCACACATTGGTCATCGTTTACCGGCCGTCGACAAGCAGGTGCTCGTTGCTTCCAAACCGTTTCTCTGTGCGGCTGCGTTATTGGCGTCCCTGGCCAAATCCGCCTTGGGCAGTAGCGGCGGGGGTCTCGGAGGCAGGTGGGGGCTGGCCGGGGGCCGGGGGGGAATGGCTTGCGATGTCCGCTCCTCCGCCAGGCTGCGAGCGTCCTGAGTCATGGGCACGCGGGGCGGGAGGGCGGGCGGCGCGTCGTCGCCCGCCGGCGCCGAACCGCCGTCGCGCTGGATCTCCGGGGGCTTCAACCTGCGAGCCGGCGTGGGCGCCTTCAAGTGAAGAACGTCCAGCTCCTGAGCGGCTTTCTTATTATGGCTGGGATCCACCGTGGGGATGATGGACTCATAAATGCCCTCTTCTTCCACGGCGGATGTGTGCCTGACGGCCAGCAACGTGTTGTGTTTGGGGGCGAGCGCGGGGAGCTGAGGAAGCGCCGCGGGAACCGGAGGTCCCGGATCCGAGAGTCTTCTGGGAGTCTCGTCCGTTATGATAAGCAACAAGTTTTGGGACTTGGCCCTTTCCGGCTTGGTCTCCTCACTCTCATCCGCAGTGTAACGCGCCAGCTCCTCGTCGTCGGTCTTGCTGCCGCCCTCGTCCGCCTCCTCTTCTCCCTCCGCATGGCCGTCCGACCAGGCCAAGTCGGAGCCTTCCTCCCCCAAGACGTCGCCGCCCTCGCTGCCGTCCTCGTCTTGCAGCGGCACCCACACCAGCTTCATGCCGGGCCTCTGGAGGTGGCACGCGCAGGAGCAGCTCGGCTCGCAGCCGGAGCCGGCAGCCCCGTCCGGAACCTCCTCGTCCTCTGCTTTTCCAACAACCGACTGGGCGTCCACCTCTCTCCCATCGGGGTCTGCGAGAAGCAACGAGAAATCTCCGCTTAGGCTCGACGGCAAGCACCCCGTCCTCCACTTTCAATTTTGACTGTCGAGTTGGCCGTTCGCTCTGGAAACAGAGCGCGGCGCCCAAGTGGCGTCTTCAAATATTGATTCAAATTTGGAGGGCCGCCGTGCTGAAATCCAATACGGACAATTGAACGGAAACGGATGAGAGGGAGAGTGGCAAAAGAGGGGGGGAGGTTTTAGACCGCCTTTGCTTACTCGCAGACACCTGTGCTCGTTTTTCGTTGGTCCGACCGTCTACGGCAATTTGCGTTCAAGGTCAGACTAAATCCTACGGTTTGATTTTATTGTTTGGCGTTTGAACATACATTTCTTTCGTTTATGTGTCAGCTTTACAGAAAACCTCTGGCGAGCTGTGGAGAAAAAAAAAATTAAAACTTGCCATGCGAGAAAAAAAAGTGAGTGCATCTTTGGAATCAGTTTGCCAATTTCACTTTTAATCAGCATAAAAATTGAACTCAACAGATTTTTTTCCCCCCCGAAACTGTTCCCTCGTGTTATTATTATATAAACAGACTGACCACAGGGAAGGGGAAAATAAATAAATAAAATCGAGAACATTTTACATATAAAAATCAAAATTAAAAACAAACAAATTTTAAAAAATTGCAAATCTGCACTAAATACACATAAGAACTGAATTTAAAAAAAAGAAATGAAAACTTTGCTAATGAAAAATTCAAACTATTATAACTCTGATGCACACCATCACATAATTCAGAGTCAGTGTCGTTTTCTGGCATGTGCAATACACGCGGCCGCACTGGGCGCCATGACTGAGCGCGTGGCAACATGGCGTGAAGAAATTAATAAATAAAGAGACGTGAACTGGATTTCTATTGCGCAATGTCATAAATGCCAAAGGGGAGCGTCTGGCACAGGGCGCCATTCAAGCTCGGACTCCTCTTACGTGTGGTGAATATTCTGGACCGGGTTACATCTTCAATCGTCTCAGAATTGAAACAGGGAAGTGAGATTGTATCCTAAAACGGGAATGTAACGGACCGTTGACATTGAAATCAAAGAACCGTGCATGAAATGTTACCGGTTCTGTCATGTTGCTTTTTTTTTTTGGTTTGTTTGGTTATTTTTTTTTTGTTTTGTTTTTTGGGACGCTACTCGATGGCTTAAATTTGACGATGTGACTTGACACCAGTACACGATCATACACACACTCACACATCAGATGCAAAACTAGTCATGTGACCAACAGAACCTGTTTTGTTCATATTTGCCACACCTGCAAAGCGCGGGAAAGCGCAGTAGAATTATTGTAATTAGCGCACAAGCTTAATGCCGAGTACCTGAGCGACCTCCTTCGGCGCAGATGCCGTCGCCGTCCTCTGATTCCGTGCTCTTCCCCTGCGGGAGGCGAGTCCTCTTCTTGGGCAGCGGAGGCGGATGGAGTGGAGTGCTCCTGCCAGTACTGGGCTTGGGTTTGATCACCGGCTGCCTTTTCATCTGCCTTTGTGTCGCTTTGGCCGGCACAACCCGGTGTTTGCTGAACTTGTTCACGATCCTCTTGACGTTCACGCCCGAGGGGCTGGCGGGCCTGTCGTCCTCTTCCAACGGCAGGGAGGATGCTCTCTCCATCGGTTTCGGGGGGATGTCCGGCTTGGGTTTGACCTCAGCTAACTGGGCAGGTGGCTGAGCTGCTTCCTGGGCAGACATGGTGGGTGGCGGGTGGGGTCGTCTTCTCTGATGATACGCTTCCGATCAGAGGCCAGGCCCCGAGGGATCTTGTCCGGCCGAGCACGTCATCCAAACCTGTTGAGGGGAAAGAATGGGTCTCAGTTGTCAGTCTGGACGGGTTCAATTGTCCAATTCCTTTGGAGGGTACACTCAAAATAGCCCAAATTGGGTCAAAGCGGGACTGACCCAACATTATTCCTTCAACCCCAAAAGTCGGGTCGAAAGAATAACCCACAAAACACCCTCAAGAAGCGAGTTGTTTTGGAACCCACCCAAAATTGTTTTGTGGGTTATTCATTTGACCCAACTTTTTGCGTCAAATGAATAACAAAATGAAAAGACTCATTGTAAGGAACGACGAATAAGAAAAGTGCGGAAAGACATAACACACCCAGTACAGAGCAGCAGCCTTTCCCAACCGTTATTGTGGCAAGGCACATATTTTATATCAAATCAAACAGTTGATGGCAGCTCACCAAACAAAGGTGACAAAAAATACACACACGCACACAAAATGCTGTGTTGGTTTACGTACCCACACGCTGGATGGATTTTGAGCAGATTGGGTTACTATTACCCAAGATTGGGTTCATTTTTTGGATCTAGCAGACTGGGTTGAAGGTTTGTCATTCACAAAGTTGCCCTTTTTTTTTTTAAACCTATTCTCGGTTATTTCTCAAAATCATGTCTATTTGCTGTGTTTGTGCTAAGAGCAAAGCGATTAATCTATGAGTTACTCCGCTGCAATCTTGGTGTTTTTACTTCGGCTTAATTCATCGATGGTGTTTTGCATCTTGTTTGAGGTGTCCTCTGTTGTCCCTCAAAGCACAGTTTTAAACCGTCAAAATTGAAATTGAAAGTACATTTATGGTTTTCTCGTGACACAGGCTACGAGTGGCCCGTGTTAATCTACTTTGCTGTATCCCATAACATTTGCAACTGCGAGTATAAATGCCAAAAGGGGAATTTGGTGACTTATTGTATACTGTACCGTTTTTTTTTGTAATGAGCTAGCACGCTTATTTGCTAGCTCACGCCGCGTCAATTTGTGCTAACATATTATTCAGGCTTGTGCGCCAGGTAAAACGACCGCCTCGCCTGGTGTGACGGTGGTTTGTTTGTGTCAAATAATTGAACCGCAGACAACATTTCTGTAACATGAGTTCATGACGAGACCGATTACGCGAGAAACGTGGTTTGGTGGCCCATGGTCCTCTCAGTTTTAAGAGCTTTGCCGCCATCTTGTGTCCTCCATTTTTATACGCCCCTTTTATTGGCAGACTTTTTTTTTTTTTTTTGCTCAGGGCTCAGTCCCCGTAGAAGGTTCGTACGAACAGGAAATTTACCGCATGCAGTACCGTATAGTGAAATCATGATCTCTCCAGTTAGGTTGGGTGATTTCCCGAGGCACAGCTAATCATCACTGTGGCACATTTCGACAATAGCATCAGACCCCGATGTCTTGCAAACCAGCTGAAGCGCCAACCGGGACTGGAGCGCAAAATCAACTTTTGCACAAGGAGGAGTCCATCCCTTTAGGACATTAGAGCGGACAACCAAACATCAACACAAGAATCCAACCCTTGTTGGCTGAGCGATGACGACACGTAAACCAAACAAGGCCGAGTACTCGATCATGTTGCAGCCAAGTCCTTGTTATGCTACGCAAGGGAAAGGGCTGCGGAGAAATCCTTTGTTCGTTTGAATTCATGGATGACAAAGCGCCGCAATGAATGGGTAAAATAAATTTCTACTTGTCGACTGCACATGGAATAACATTTTGTACAGTCCCTCGCTGCGCCAGTGCGACGCCAATTTCTTAGAACGTCAACCGGCTCGTCGGACCTGTTTGGAGAGCGCCGCGCGCGTGTGTCACTGAGTCAGTGAACTTGTTTTGGAGCAAACGGGGAGGTTTCAGGTTTCATTCTGGAAAATTTCGGGGGATTTTGGAGGGGGAGGCAAAAACGATACGGAGAAGAGAACATTTCGTGGTGATTGAATGAGAGTTTTTCGCAGACACTAAGGGGTGACTTTGTAGGTTTTTGCCATTGTCCGGTGTGACCGGAAACGCCACCTGACTTGGACCCATTATTGTGCACTTTCTCTATTGTGACGTTACCAGCCACCAAGGTTGAAAATAGTAGCGCGACGAAGAAAGTACTGATGTTTGTTCTCAAATGTCGGGGGTAAAAACTCGATCGGGGCTGAGAACGTCGAATATTCACAAACACTTGAAAAATCTACGTTCTTAAATCCACCGGGTCAAAAATAACCGAAATTGCGTGGGTGACATCCTCTTTTGTCTCGCTTTAACCGTACCATAAATCCTACACATATCCGATACGCCCTGATTCCTCAAATCATACTCTCATTTGCACAAATCATTCAGTGTCTAAAAGAGTTTCCATGAACACAGCGATGCATTGTGGAGGGCAGATGGGTGTGTATGCCATCTGTTGTGTCAGCGTGCAATATTTTGGGGGGGGGGGGTAGCACAAGAGGTGGACGAAAAGCACCCCCCCACCCCCTTCATCTGATCACGAAACGTTACTGTGGCGTACAGTCTCATGGGGAGTTATTAGCTGGTTCTTACTACATTTTAACTGTTTTTTTTAATGAAATGACACACACACCGGTTTGCCGAGGAGTTCGCAGCAGGAAATGCCGCTCTGACAAAGAATTGACAGCGGGCAGATTGACTTCAGTGCCAACTCGTGAAAGCCCTCGAAGGAACAGGTGCTTTCGGATCGGAATTTCCAACGAAGCGTCCCGATATAGTTGTCAATTCATAGTAAACGTCTGATTAAAACAAACAAAATGAAACAAGGAACCAATAGCTCACCAGGATAGTTCGGACGCAAGTCAACATTACTTGTCAGCTGTTTCGGCGCTCCAACATCTTGGGCAAAAACGGTACCACTGGCCTTGATGATTCTCTAATTTTTTTAATCCAAGCGTCCGAGTTCACGGATTAATGAAGTATCGTACCATCAGAAATGAACAATAAAAACAAAAGGAGCAAAAGTTACGGGCTGCTCGCCGGGCGGCGTCCCCCGCCCGCAAGTGCTCGAGGCTTTCTCTTTGTTGGAACCCGCACAAGTCCAGAGTAGAGACGACCGAAGGCGGGACAATCCTCCCTCCCTCCACTGGGGCACAAATGATCCAGCGAGGCTAATTGCAATCGAGAATCCTGTCATGAATTTCAAATTAAAACAACCGTCGTACGTAATGTTTCGAGGACACTTTGGTTTATAGACGTTTATTGTGAAGGCTTCAACACCACAACCCGTGTTGAACAAACCCAATTCCACTCAAGGTGGGACGTTTAAACCTAAATAAAAACACAATACAAATGTTTTGCAAGTTATCTTCGACTGAATACACGACAAAGACAAGATCTTTCATGTTCAAACTGATCAACTTGATTGTTTTCGGCAAATCATCATTCCCTTCGAATTTTATGGCTGCATCACATTCCAAGAACCCTGGGACAGGTGGCAAAAAAGACTGGGAAAGTTGAGGAATGCTCATCAAACACCCTGTTTGGAACATCCCGCCGGGTGAACAGGCTAAGTGGGAACGGGTGGTGGGTGCTTCCCTTGTCATTCACAAGCAAAGGTGGGGGCGAGGCTCAGCTCTTCGTCAACAAACGCATGAGTCCAACAGTTTCAGGTCAATGTTCCTCAATTGCAAGGAATTGAAGGATTCCGTCCTCTATGGTCCAGAATATTGCCAAAAAGGTTCCGAGAATCTGGAGAAAGCACGGCATGGAAGTGGCACTGCATCAACCCCCCCCCCCCCACAAAAAAAAAAAAAAACACGACATCACTATGTCAAGGATAATATCCCGTGGGCTCAGGAACACTTGAGAGAAAACAATGTCACTCGATCCAGTTGGACGCTACATTCGTAAGGGCAACTTCAAACTTGACTTTGCAAAGCACTTTATCCACTTATCAGCAACACTCAACGCCGCCAGCTTCTCCGGGCCCGAGCTCATCTAAGAAGAGGAAAAGTGTTCTGTGGTCTGACGAGTCCACATGTTCAATTTGGTTTTGGACATTGAACAACTGAAGCTGGAGATCAAGGAAGAATGGCAAAGAATTCCACCTACCAAGCTTCAAAAATGAGTCTCCGAGCGCCTTTGTTTCTTCGTGCTTTGTTGTCTGATCTTAAAACGTCAGGAAGCCGGCAAGTTCTGTGAAAAGCTGAAACGAAAACACACTCCTGGCCTTAATAAGCGAGAAATCAACAGCATTTTCACAACAGTGTGATTGTGTACTGCAATAAAAATGTCCGTTTCCTACTCTAAATAAAATTTGACAGAAAAGGAAGGTGTCCAATGTCTTTTTTTTTGGGGCGTGGAGGGTGAAAAACACAAATCATCCAGTTGTGCATACTGTCAGTTTATTTTCTTTCATATATATATTTATTTATATAAATCAGGACGATATTTATGTACAACGCAAGATACAGAAAAAAAAATTGAAAGCAGCACTAGGCCATAAATTATAGCCATAAAATATTGTTCACATTTTTGACTGGAAGTGTTGTTTTTCCTGTCGTCAGACAAAGCCTCAGGATCTTGCTTGGATGCCAGCTGCTCAGAGAAGGTTTTTCATCTTCAACCGGGAGTGAAAACGCAAACCGAGAAAAACTCTTGCCCCCCCGTTAATACTATTCTCAAGAAAACATCGGAAATCTTATTCATTTGTTGACGCCTCGTTTTTTTTTTTAACCATGAACCTTTTTAAAGATAAAAAAATGCAGTGGGAAAAGGAGTAGTGGTAGGAAACCATGTTACCAGCTTTGAGGGGAATTTGGACTTTCCTCTTGGGAGGTTCGAACAGATTTTTATTTTTTTTTTTTAAACCTCGCCCCCATTATTCATTGAAAAACTTCTATTAGCGGTTCTTGTGTTCACCGTGAAATGTCACAAGATGCCCTCGTCAAATAGGAAAGTAACCCTACTTCTCGATTGACGGTTTGAACGACAGCGGCCCGTTGCTTACAAGCTGTTCAATCCATTTTTGCCTTGGGTAGCCAATTTGACAACATCTGGCCCCTGTCAGGTCTTGCGGTCACCTTGCAGTGAGTACAAGTACAGATGCTTTGTGCTTGCAATTTCCAATGACTTTGAGCATGAAATAATGATGATAGAATTAAGCCCCGCCCCCCCCAAGCTGTCATAATTCCCGACATTCAGATTTACGATATTATTATGGCCCGACCAATCTGAATTTTTTTGAGGTTGATGTCAATTCCAATCTTTGGCAGAATAAAATACAGTTGGCTGATTGTCAGCCATTATCCGAGCCGCTGATCCTCACCGGCCGTGTTCAAGGCGAAGGCTGTGTACACCCTGAACTAGACAAACCAAGATGGATGTGTACATACTGTATGTACAAATCCACCAATTTTGGTGGATTTAAAAGAGGTCATAACCAATGAATGGGCCAGGCCATCGCTATTGTTTGTTCTCGTACTGCAC